CTCTGCTGCTCCCCGCTGGGCTGCGTCCAGTAGCCTTTCTCCTCCGACTTCTCTCCCCTTTCCTCCCCCGCCTCATCCCGTTCATCATCCATATGCTCCCCCCTCGGCCGGGGCTGGATTGGGAGCCACGAGCGTGCGAGGGGTGTGCTGAAGTGAGGCAGTGGCGCCATGCGGGCCCTGGCAGTTGGGCCGTAGCTGGGATCCCCATATGGGACCATGACACGTGTGAGGGGTGTGCCGGCATGAGGTGGTGGCGCCATGCGGGCCATTAGTTCAGCGCCCAGTTGGAGCGCCTTGTGGGTCGTGAAACGATGTGCCGACATGAGCGAGTGGTGCAACTCTGACCCTAGAATGTGCGCATTAGCTGTAGCCGCGCGTTGGGCCACGAAACGTGTGAGGGGTGTATTGGTGCGGTGGCGCCGTACGGACCCTGGAATTTGGGCTTGGACCGCGAAACGTTTGAGGGATGGAACGAAGCGGGCACGAGGAGAGCGGCGGCAAAGAGCAGGGAGGAGGAGCAGGGAGGAGGGAGGACCAGGGCAAACCCAAGGCGCATCAACGACGTTGCAAACCATCCATCCAAGTTCCCTCGTGCAGAAGAAATGGTTCACGTTACGGGAAATGGCCCATTCAAAGGCATACGTTTGAGAATCCTCCATCGTGCCAAAACACCGTTCTTGTGACATCAACGCCGCAGATCAACGTGACTGCTGCGTCCTAGCAACCCTGAATCTTGTCAGAACACCATTCCTGAGACTTCAACAACGCGAATCAAAAGACTGAAGCGTTCTGGCAGTCCTGAATCGCACTAGAACGCCGTTCTTGAGACTCAAACACTGCGAATCAGCGTGACCGCAGCGTCCTGACAATCCTAAGTCGTGCCAGAAAACCATTCCTGTGCCTTCAACTACGCGAATCCTCGAAACGGCTGCAAGCTTTTAGGACAGATGTGCGCGGCGCTCAGGCGAGATCCGCATTTTGAACACCACCGCCCTCCATCCTTGAAGCTGCTGCAAACATTTAAGACGAATGTGCGCGGCGCTACGGCAGGAGCACTGTTTTTAAAACCACCCGCCATCCATCCGTGAAATTGCTGCAGACGCTTAAGACGAATCTGCGCGGCACTAAAACGAGAGCCACATTCTAAAAACCAACCGCCCTCTGTCCGCGAGGCTGCTACAAACGTTTAGGACGAATGCGCTCGGCGCTACGGCGAGAGCCACATGTCGAAAACGACCCGCCCTCCATGAGCGAAACGGGTGCCAACTTGTAAGACGAATGGGCGCGGCGCCACGGCGAGAATCACATTCTGACAAGGGCCCGCCCTCCATCCGTGAGCTTGGCATCGCTCGGACGTGTGCGGTTTTCCTTCGGCGAGGACCATCGAGGAGCATCCTTGATCACTTGGCGAAAAAGCCACGCACGAAACCGAAAAGAACACAGGAAATGGACGTCCGAGCGATGGCCAGTGAGAGTGCGGCACTCTTCTCAAGCTCCAGGACCAGAAGTGGCGAGAGGAAGTCTCCGGCGGAACGCCGGGGGGGCCGCCCTGCGGACACGGTCGGGGGGTGCGACAGGGAGGAGCTCTGCAGTCGCTAGGAACAGAAAGGAGGAGGAGGAGGAGGAGGAGAAGGAGGAGGAGGGGGAGGAGGGGGAGGAGGAGAAGGGGGAAGAGGAGGAGGAGGGGGAGGAGGGGGAGGAGGGGAGGAGGGGGGGGGAAGGAGGCCCACACGACGTGCATGCTGCATCGGGATGATCACGAGCACGAGGCATGCTGTGCATCGGCGACTCTCAGCACTAGAGAACCGAGTCGTGAGGCGTCATGGGTATGAGCGCGTCTAAGTGTGAAGGCGACCCCAAGTGTGAGTGAGTCTCAGTATGTCGGATACGAGTGTGAGCGAGTAATGGGTGTGAGCGAGTCCGTGTGTGAACGAGCGGGTCTAAATATGAGCGAGCCAGATCTTGATTAAGTCTGAATATGAATGGGTACGCGTGCGAGTGGGTATGAGAGCAAGCGCGTCCAAGTATGAGTGAGTCTGACTGAGAGTGAGTCTGTGAGTGAGTGAGTCTCAGTATGAGTGAGTTTGAGTGTGGGTGAGCCTGAGCACTAGTAAGTGTGAACGGGTCTGACTGCTAGTGCGTCTGAGTCTGAGAAGGGGAAAGGAGGAGGGAGGTGGTGGAGTAAGGCGGAGGTCTCCCGCAAGTGACATAAAACCCAAATGATGGATACTAGGGGGGACCATGTTCAGATGCACGCACACTCAGAGCCGTTCAAACCCAGACACACTCGGATGCAGACCGGCTCGTGCTGTGCCATCCAAGTTGGCCCACTTCACACTCAGACCCACTCGTGCCCAGCTCCATTCAAATACGCACGCACTCACAGTCTTTCAACCCACGCATGCGCAGACCCACTTCAGCCCGTCTCGCGGGCCAGATCTCAGCAAATCCCCTCGCCTGCTCGCTCATTCAACTACCCCCCTGTAGCTGGCGGGCGGGGCGGGCAGACCTCACACTCTTAACACCCCCGAGCCGCGCCGGAAGCGGAGAACCCAGCGGGCGCAGGGCGGCGCTCCCCAGCGAGACAAAGAAAGAAATATGTTCCTCGCGAGTAAAAAAGTTAACACCTAAATTCATATGCACAGACATATCAGTAAGTAAATAACTACACATATCTATATATCTATATATATATGTGTGTGTATAGCAGATGATTTGCTCCGCTGGCCTCCTGCTCCTCTCCCCGTCGCCGGATAGTTCGCTCGCCCGCGCGCTGCCGACATGGCACACGGCTTCTCACTGTGGGGCCGGGCAGGCGGCGAGGAAAGGGAAGAGGGAGGGGTGGGCGGTGGCTCTTCCACTTCCTCCTGTGCCTGCTCCTCCCCTCTTGTGGGCCGTCTGGGCCGCCCCCGCCGGAGCGGCAAGAGGCGGCCGGGAAGGAAGGGGCTAGGATGGTGCTCAGGAGAGGTCCGAGGGCTGGTGCTGAGCGGATGCCGTGCCAAGGGGGGGAGGAAAAGAGAGCAGCTGTACAGCGCGAAAGATGGGGCCCAGCCTGAGCACCGACCCACGTCGTTGGGTAGACGTCGAGCGGTGCCCCCGGAGAGAGGGCCCGCCGCGCTGTGCTCCCCTGCAGTCACGGCGCCCTCGTGCTTTGGCGGCGGCCATTGGACTGTCCCCCCCCCCTTCAGCTCCATCTCCATCTCCTCCCTCTCCAGATGTGAAACCAGCACCAGGAATGAGGAGGCAGTGAAGCGGAGGAGGATTGTCGTATACTGCCAGATGGTACATTACAGTGCCAAGCGTGTTGTGGGCCTCAGTGGATGATTTACATTTCGCACTTCCACAACGCACAAAGCAACTGTGTGCCTAACACCAGCGACAACAATGAGTGCCTACCGGTGCCGATCAAGATTGCGCCCAAACCGACTTTGCGATGTCGATTGCGCTCCTTTCCAAACTGTGTTCTTATAGCCAAGCGTACTCTGGAAAGTTGTACCCATTAGGGACCGTTCAGCTGCAGTGGACACATGTCGTGCTTCAGCAGATCGAACTCAACCCAATCCAGCGCTTTAAATGAAAAGGATAACAATTGCGCCAATGCGATTGCAAATTACATAGGCCCTCGGGCGGATGGGTCATTGCACAACCAGGCTCCCCCGATCTCCCGAAAAGTGGGTGTCTGCTGAAGCAACTAACACTTCTGTGCTGAACGGGTTTCGTCCCCGTGTACACGGCGATGAACGACGACCGTGCGCCCCGTCCACCTCCGCCTCCCAACAGCAGTACCAAACTCTGTGTTTGTCCCGCTGTGGGCCCCACTGCACCTCGCCAACTGCAGCGGCTGGTATACCGAGTCCTGCTTCGCGGGCCCATGGTTGTCGCTCTTTAGTGAGCACGGACGTTGGCGGCACATCCAACTCACCTCGGCGCCCGCCTCCTGTGAGGCACACTCCCCCCCCTCGTGGGGGAAACGCATGTCCGTAGCCGTGGCCTCGCGGGCCAGGCCCCTGGGCCCCTGGGCCGCGACCCCGCGAAGGCAGGGCGCTTCGTCGCGGATGTCCCGCGCGGGCCGTATCCGTGCGACCACGTATGTGCGGGATCGCGCCCCGGAGTCCAGACCGCCAAGGCGTGGATATGGATCCCTTCGCCGCTCGTGACCCCCACCGACCGTCTTCGGACAGGGCTGGGACGAGGACAAGCCCGTTCTCCAGGGCGCTGCGTAACGCTCTCAGAGCGTTCCTGAGCGCCCTGAGAAGGCTGCGGCGCCCGAGACATCCTCCAGAGCGGCTGGATCTCGGAGATTCTCGATTCATCTTCACTCGAATGTATCACCGTTGTGGCTTCGTCTTACCTTTGCTCGGCGCCTTTGGCGTGTGCTGCCGGCCCTCGAAAGCTTCCTGTAGCTCGGAGGTGGAGCAGCAGCAGTAGCAGCAGCAGCAGCAGCAGCAGGAATAGCCGATCGTCCCCAGGTTCCAAGGCAGGCGGAGCAGCAGCAGCAGTGGGAGCAGGACGAGGATCAGGGGGAAAGGGGGCGAGGAGGACGAGGAGGACGAGGAGGACGAGGAGGACGAGGACGAGGGAGTAGGTGAGGAAGCGACAAGGAGAACGAGGAGAGCGACGACGACGACGACGGCGAGGACTGTTGTGAGGGGGTTCGTTAAGGAATGTGCCCAGGAGACTTCAGACCCTTGAGGGTTCCGTGTCTAACGAGGGTGGTGGTGATATCGAAGGGCCAAGCCACGATTGGAGTTCCACCCGCTTCCAGACCCTGGATTCCTTATCCAATGGTTCCTTGCTCAATGCCCTCACTGTACGACGAGGGAGGAGGAGGAGGAGGAGGAGGAGGAGGAGGAGGAACAAGAGCAGGAGGAGGAGGAGGAGGAGGAGCAGGAGGAGCAGGAGGAGGAGGAGGATCAGCAGGAGCAGGAGGAGGAGGAAGAAGGAGGAAGCGTGCAGCAGCACCAGGAAGACCCCAAACACCCCGGGAAGCCTCGCGGCAGGAGGGCGCAGGAGGCGGGCTTCGAGAGGGTCGACAGCGCGCCCTTCGAGGAGCTCGCGAGGCTTGCGGCCTCCGACGGCGACCTCGAGGCCGCCTCGCCGACATCCGGAGGAGGCAGGCGGGAGGAGGCAGGAGGGAGGAGGGAGGAGGGGGAGCAGGGAGGCGGGAGGAGGGAGGAGGGAGGAGGAAGGAGGGAGGAGGAAGGAGGAGGAGGAGGCAGGAGGAGGAGGAGGAGGAGGAGGAGGAGAAGGAGGAGGAGGGAGGAGGAAGGAGGGAGGAGGAGGAGGAGGAGGAGGAGGAGAGAGCAGGAGGAGGAGGACCAGGAGGAGGAGGAGGACAAAGGCGTGGCTATGGCCACCGACAGCGGGGTTGGGAAGGAGAGTTCGGCTTTCATCAAGGATTGGGGATTCCAAACGAGAAGCGCTACCAAGAATCTCGGCGTCGATTGTTGGGTCCGACGGCGCAGGCGGAGCACTGTGGTCCCAGCGAGGCCGACTGACCGCCTTGAGGCCGAGGATCCGCAGGTTCCGTGGGCTTCGCTCGGCGTTCCGACGGGCCGTGAAGGTGGCCAAGACAGGAGGCCCGCCTGCCGTCAGCTATGGCGGAGCGGATCGGGTCCCCAAGCTCGCAGAAGAAGCTGAGAACCTCGCCCTACGAAAGGGGGAGTCCGCTGCGAACTTCTGCAAGGAACTCGGGGCCAAGAGGCTCGAGTCTGCCTGCTGATCGGGATTGCCGACACCCGCCTTGCTGAGATTCGCGCGATCTTGGGACAGACGATCTTCGGGACCCCCAAGGGAAGATCCAGGACGCTTGAGTACCAACTCTGCGGGGGGCCCGAATCCGACCCCACCTTCTCGGCCAGCTCCGCCCCTCTCCTCAGCTGGTGCCTTGCCCTGCACCATGTCTGGGCCCCTGAAGCAGAACTCAGCAAGAGTTCCGATGCGCTCCTCAACACCCCTGGGCTTGGCTGGGGGCGGGTTACTGGACCTGCGGGGGCCGTGCTGTGTACTTCGAGGAGGCTCGGGTGGAAGGCCCTGGGGCATCGGTCCTGGGTTACCAGACGCGGAATCGAAGTCGGTCCTGGCACCCTGGGCTAAAAATCTTGCGAATCCTAATCGATTAAGAAACCCAGGGGTCGCTCTTGCAGCGCGTCGGGCGCGAAATGGGTGGGTCGACCGCTGGCCCGCTGCTCGAGCCGATCGCTCGAAAGTTGCAGGCCTTGCGTGCCCAAGGCAAGGGGCCCGAAGCCTCCTCAGTTGCTGGAGCTGTCGCGGGCGGGTTTGCCACGCAGCAGGCGTTTTTTTGTTGTAGGACGTCGAGTTATGTCTCCCCTCCTGCAGGTGGCGCGGAGCCTCGGCGGGGACGCCTCGACACAGGTTCTACGGATGCGACGCAAATATCGGGCTCCGCCAATCTCTCGACCTGGACATGTTTTTGTTCGGGCCGAGGGCCGCGAGACGGGAGACCATGACCCAGGCTTCACGAGAGGGATCTTCGAGAGCCCCACTGCCCTTTCCCCCCCCCTCCCCCCGCTGGTCGAGGCCAGTTGGCGTTGGAGTGTTCCCCCCCACCTTCTGGCCTCCTGGGCACGGGCAAGATCTGTTTGGATGGCTCTGCGTTGGACCCAGACTGTGGTTGGCGCTTGCGTGCGGGGTGGGGGGTTGCGGCTGTGGATGAAGGGGGGGACATGTCAGGCTCTCTTGTTGGACCCCTCCCCAATCCGCTTCAGTCCGCGGGAGGGGGTGCAGCATTTGCCTTTTTTGTTGACTGCCTTGGGACTGGTAGGAGGTTGCCCTGCCGAGTTTATCACCGATTGCTAGATGGTCTGCGGCATCTGGAAAAAGGGGCCCTCCCAAAATCTCACCAACGTTGCACATAGCGAACTTCGGCGCGACACCTTTGCTAGGGGAGGGGGCGTAAGGATTCACAACGTCACCCCCACTAAAGTCAAGAGCCATCCGTCTCGACGGACTGCCCTCGACCGAGGCTTCAGGCACTGGGTGTGGGCGGGCAACCGAGAGGCGGACCGTCTTGCCAAGGTAGGGCCGGCAGTGTGCCAAGCAGTTGTACGCACAGCAGGTTGAGCTCGTCACCAACAGCGTGTGCGGCATCCACGAGACTATGAAAACCCTCGCCCGCCTCCGCTGCCCAGATGTCGAAAGGGCCCGAGCCAAGGTAAGACAGCGCCCAGCTGGTTTCGAGTTGGTACCCGATGCGTTTGACCATCAGCTAGTTCGGCACCCCGTCTCCCAGTGGGCAGGTACAAGTACCAGTGTGTGCGCTGCGGGAAGGCACGCAGCAGGGCAGGTGTTTGCAAGTTCCCGTGCGTCGGGTTGCCCAAGGCGGCCCGTACTGCCCACCCCTCCCACAGGTTGTACACTGGGGGTGGGCAGTTCTCGTGGTGTTCGAAATGCGGTGTTTTCGGCAACAAGCGATTGCAGTATTCAGTTGCCAAGTGTATCGGCAACCCACGCAATAAGGATACGGCGCAGAACCCCATGATGTTCCGCGAGGGGAAGGACCCGTCCAGCAAGGTGTTTTGTTGGTCGGAGTGTTCCTCTAGACTGGCGTGAGCCTGGGTTGGGTCGGGTTGCTGTTGGGATGCCAGCAGCCCCGACTTCACCCAGGCCCGCTGTCGCTCCCTTTAAACTGGGCCCGATGTTCGCTCGTTCGCGGGTTGGGGATTTGGCCTTGAATGGAGAAATTGGAAAAACAGGAGGGGGCAGGAGGACGAGGAGGTAGCAGGAGGAGGATGAGGGAAAAGGAGGAAGAGAAGGATGAGCAGCAGCAGCCGCAGGAGGAGGAGGAGGAGGAAGGAGGCAGGAGGAAGAGGGAGGAGGGAGGAGGAGGAGGAGGGAGGAGGAGGATGTGGATGCGACGCGCGGTTTCGCTGTGTGCGTGTTCGGTGTGCGACGGCGGGCGGCGCTGGAGCCAAGTGTGCCGTCGCTTGCGCCACCGCCGGGACAGTGCAAAAAGAAGGTCGGACATTGGAGAATACACATTACCAGTGGCGGGCTGCTTATCAGTCTCAGGCCTTTTGGGGGTCGGGGGCGAGGTCAGGGTGGTGTGGTGTAAACTGTTTTCCCCGTTTCCCCAAGGAAACTACAAAAAAACGTATACACCAGGATCCTGTATACACCTGGATCCGCTTTCTTGTGCGAAGTTCAGTGCGGAGCCAGAAAAAAAACGTCGGTACATATATAATAAAGAGAGAGAGAGAGAGAGAGAGAGAGAGTCCCCCTAAGGATGGAGGAAAACGTCGAAAAACTTACCATAAGGGAGTAAGAAGAAGAAGAGAACAAACAAAAAAAAAAAAACGTCGAAAAAAGAGAGAGAGAGAGAGTTCCCCTAAGGAAGGGGAAAATGGGCGAGAGCGCATAGGCGGATTGCAGAGACGCCGAGGGCAGAAACTAAAAACGCAGTGGGCAAGAATATCCGAGACACCCCTGAGGCCTACGCTGGCGGCAGGTGCCAAAAAGGAGGCACGCGGGAAGAGTCCGAGCGAGCGCTCACGACGTACTTCTCGTGACGAGGGTCCGGACCTCTGACGGGGGAGAGAGCCAGCAGCCACAGGAGGGCGATCGGGGGCGAGCCACGAAGCGAGGGCCACCTTCCAGCGCAGACGCGCCAGAGGGGCTGTCAGCACACGAGCGAGCGCCAAGGCCAGGCGAATTTGCGCGAGTCGCATGCCCACATAGGGGGGGTGGCACGGTCCCGTGAGGAGGCCACGGATGGCAGGAGCAGGCGAGGACAGAAAAGCCCTTGCGGATTGAGCAGATGGCTCGGACGCTGGCCAAAATGGCGCGCGAGACTAGGTGGAACGGCCCGTTGGGCTGAGATGCCAACTGCTACTCTGGCGCCATGGCCGTGTAGGCCACAGAACGGCGATTGCCCGGGATGAGCAAAGAAGAGACAGGCCAGGCGGCAGAAGGGGAAAGCGAATGGGAGCGACCCACAACGAGGGAGCCCAACCTGCGATCGACGCAGACGGACAGCAGAAATCCAGAACGGAGCAAATGCTGCTGAGGGCACGCGAGAATGGAAGACAACAGGTGCGGACAGCCAGACACCTGCGGATAAACGAATAGCTCGAACGCTGGCCAAAGTGGCGCGCGAGACTCGGTGGATCGGCCCGCTGGGCTGATAGACGGTACTCAGCCAATTCAATTCTCACGAAGTGCCACGCTGGCGACATGGCCCTAAAGGCCACAGTACGGGGAACGCGCGGGATGGGCAAAGAAGAGGGGAGGGAGGCCGGGGGGCAGAAAAGGAGAGCGATTGGGGGCGACCCACAACAAGGAAACTAACTTGCGAACGACGCAGGCGCTGTAAGAGGCAAGTAGGCTGCTGAATACTCACGATGGCACTGCGTGAATGGATGGAGGCTCCGACAATACGCACCTACTTCTCCACTCGCGCTCTCAATGCTGAAATCGTCACCTAAATCTTCACCTAAATCTTCACTCGCGCTCCCAAAGTTTCATTATCCACCGGAAGTTGCACCTAAATCTTCGCCCGCGCTCTCACTTCCTCTATCGCTACCTAAATCTTCATCTGAATGTTCACTCGCGCACTCGCTGCTTCAATCGTCACCTAAATCCTAACCGAAATCTTCTCTCGCACTCTCACTGCTTAAACTCGTCAACTAAATCTGCACCTCAATCATCACTCGCGCTTACACTGCTTACATCGCCACCTAAATTTGCACCTAAATCTTCACGCGCGCTCTCACTGGTCAACTCTTCGCTTCAATCTTCACCTACATCTTCACTCGCCCTCTCACGGCTTAAATCTTCACCTAAATCTGCGCTTACATTACTACTCGCGCTCTCGCTTCTTAAATCTGGATCGGGATATTCACATAAATTTTCACTCGCGCTCTCACAGCTTGAACCTTAAACTAAATCGTCATCGTCTCTTGGGTGCTCGCTAGTTTTGTTCCACGTTTTGTTGGTGGCCCGCGGCCGCGCCACCGTTCTGTTATGCGTTTTGTTTCCGGCTGCTCGGGGGCAGTTGTTTTGTTTGCCCGTTGTCTTGTTCCAGAACGGCCTGCGCGACGCCGGCCAGCGTTTTCTTCCGATATTTAGTTTTGAACGAAAAAAACATTGTTCAGGTTGCACCCTGGTGACGGCGATGACGATGACGATGGCGACGGCAAGGCCCATGACGGCGCCGACGCTGATCACGCCGATGACGGTGATGGTGTCCGTGCGTCGGTGATGAAGGTTCGCGAAGGCTTTTGACACGCGCGCGCGGCCGACACGCGCGAGTGGCCTGCATGGTACTGTTTGACAGGGATCGCGCCCCTCTCCCCAGCACTCGCGAAAGGGCGCTCGAATGATTTCGACGTGCGCGCGCAAGAGGCCCGCTTGGTCGCACTTGTCGAACATGTTGAAACAAGGATAGCGACTTTTCTTTCGAATCTGCAAGAGCGGACGCGCAGATTGGGGGGAAATTCATGTTGCAAAACAAATTGGCTTACCTGGGACACTCTCTTTTTTGAAATCTGTGCGAGACCGATCGTTTTGTAAGGATTCCGGCATGCGCGTGCGACGGCGCGCTCGTGTACGCGCCGTCCCGTTTGCCGCATTGGTTTCTTGCAAATTGATATCGTATGATAAACGAGTGTGCGCGTATAGTGTTTTTTGTTGCAAAGAGTGGTGGGAGGTGGTCGAATTTGGCTCGCGTGCGGTGGTATGAGTTAATATTCTAGATGAACGATGGGCTGAATCATATGTAAACTGCACATCCCGAGGGGGGCGGATAATCGTTACCTCGGGAGGGTGGGGATCCTCATCGCTTTGTAGATAGGAGAAGCTACATGGTGCAATGCACCTTGCCGAAGTTGAAGTTCTCAACTCATCTGCTCGCGCAATCCTCCCACCCGCCCACCCACAGCTTGGCTTGCAAAGCCCATGCTGCGGCGATTGCGATGACTGCTTGGCGCTAGCTGGCGCATTGCTGCCGGCGCTAGCGCGCGCAGACCCGCGCGCAGAGCGCCCAGCTAGTTTGGCGCAACCGACGCGGCCGCGGTGGCGCAGACCGCTTGGCATTTCCCAGCGCGTTTCGCAGGCCGCGCTGACGCGCGGGCACCTGAGTGCGAGTCGGTGACCCTGTCGGGTGCGGTATCGTGGCGACGTCGGCAAAGGCAGATACGATAATGATTGCAGCGATCATGATGATGACGATGGCGATGGCGACGGCAATGCCAATGACGGCGCCGATGCTGGTCACGCCGATGACAGTAATGGTGTCCACGCGTCGGTGATGAAGATTTGCGAAGGGTTTTGACATGCGCGCGCGACCGACTCGCTTGAGTGACCCGCATGGTATTATTTGACCGGGATCGCCCCCCCCCCCAGCACGCGCGCAAGAGCGCCCGAATGATTCCGACGCGCGCGCGCAAGAGGCCCGTTTGGTCGTATTTGACGAAATGTTTAAGCATCGATGGTTTGCTCAAGCATTCACGAGCGCACGCACCGACTTCTGTTGGAAACTGCAGCACAATGCGTTTTGTGTTATATATATATATGTATTTATATATATATATATATATAAAAAACAACAAAAATCGGGACACTCGATGTTGAAGTTTTTACTAGACCAACGGTTGTTGAAAGATTTCAGCATGCGTGCGCGACGACGCGCGCGCTAACATTTTGTGACACTTTCTGTTGTAAAGGGTTTTTGCAATTTGATGGCTGTTGATAAACAAGCGTGCGCGCATAATGGTTTTTGCTGAAGATGGCAGGGGGGGGTCGAACCCGGCTTGGTTGAGATGGCACGCGTTCATATTATGACTGAACAACGGGGCTTAATCATATGTGAACTGCGCATCCCCAAGTTGGACCGATAATCTTTGCTCCTCGGGAGCGGTGGGTCGAAATTCCTTTTCTAGCGAGGAAAACCAATGTAATGCGATCTATATGGTGCATTACCTGTGGTGCATGATGCAATTAATTGTGGTTCGCAATGAGTTGTCAACTCCGCTGCTTGCGCAGTCATCCCACCCACTCACCCGCAACCTAGCTTGCAAAACCAATTGCGGTAAATGCTCGGCGCTATGCGGCCGCCGCCCTAGCGCGCGCAGAACAGCGCGCAGAGCGGTCAGCTAGTATAGCTCGACCGACGCGGCCGCGGTGGCGTTGACCGTTGGGCACTCCCCAGCGCGTTTCGCAGGCCGCGCTGACGCGCGTGCCCTTCAATGCGATTCGTTGATCCGGGCGGGCGCAGTGTTATGGCGACGTCGTCAACGACAGACACGATGATGATTGTAGCGATGCTGGTGACCACGATGACGATGGCGACGGCAATGCCAATGACGGTGCCGATGCCAAGCACGTCGGTGACGATGATGGTGTCCACTTGTCTGTGATGAAGGCTGTGGAATGATTTCGACATGCGCGCGGCTGGCGCGCACAAGTGGCCCGCATGGCTTCTTGTGCGGGCCACTTGTGCGCGCGGCTGGCGCGCACAAGTGGCCCGCACAGGGATCGTACCGCCCCCTCCCCAGGCACGCGCGCAAAGGCGTTCGAATGATGTCGACACGCCCGCGCGAGAGGCCCGTTTGGTCGAATTTGATGAGATTGTTGCAACAACCATGGTTCGTTTAAGGTTTCGCAAAGGCGCGCGCGCAGACTTTTTAATCTGAAAATCACAATGCAAACCAAGTGTTGTTTGTATGTGTTCGGGACATTCGATGTTGTAATCATCGTGAGGTTCTTGAAAGATTCCGGCATGCGCGCGCGACGACGCGCGCGAGTGCATTTCGTCGCGTTTTCGCAGAGGGTTTCGGCACTTGTTGCAGAAGATGGTGTCGGGGGGTCGAGACCGGCTTGGTTGGGATGGTATGAGTCCATATTCAGAAGAACGATTGGGCAGAGTCAAATGTAAATTGCGCATCCCTTGGAAGATCGATCATCCAGGCCTCGGGGGGGCGGTGGGGCCGATTTCCTTCTTAGAAAAGATACTTTATGTGGTGCAGTCTATTTGGTGCGACGGGGCGGTAGCGGCGGCCGCATACCCGCCAGACCAGAGACACGGCCCAGTTCCTTCGAACAGAACTAAGAAACATTACGTGCAAGCACCGTCTGGGAATTTACGCACCCCGCGGCCCACCCTTCTCTCGAACCCCTCCTTTTCTCTCGGCGGGCCTGCCCCTCTCTTGTTGGGAGGAGGCACGTCGGCCCGCGCGCCGTGCGCTCCGTCTCCCCGCCGCCGCCCCCCACCTCCCTCGCGGCCGGCCCCAGTCTTGAAAGCGTGCCGCTCCGTGCTGCGCCCCGCCTCCTCGCTGCCCCCCGCGCCCGCGCAGGCGACGGACCGCTGGATCTCTAGAGGCCGGCGCTCAGGCTCGGGATGGGGGGATCTCGGCCACGCGCGGAGGGTGCGAGGTTTTTTTCAGAAGCCGTTCCCCCTCTCCCTACCCCCTTTGTGCGCGCCGCCAAAGATCGGGCCGGGGCGGGGTTGCCTAGGCACACACTGATCATCGGATACTGGAATTTTCCGCTCGCGACCGACAAGACCGGTCGCTACGGATTTTGCTTCAGATTCCAGGATCGGTCGCGAACGATTGGCCGCGATCGGTCGCGATCGGTCGCGGATCTTTTGCGCCGACGGGGGGCAGGGCAGCCCAATCACACGAGATGGGCGCGTTCGTTGAGGAAGGTGCCTAGGAGGCTTCAGACCCTGGAGGGTTCCTTCTCTGACGAGGGCGGCAGTGGTTATCCACCGGCCTCAGGGGCCTTCAGACCCTGGGTTCTTTGTCCAATGGTTCCTTTTGGCGACAGCAGAGACTGCTCTCTTTCAAACTCTGCGCCTGCACAGTGGGCGAAAACTATATCCGTATCCGCGGCCTCGCAGGCTGGGCCCAAGGGCCGCGACCCCGCGGATTAGGGGCGGTTTTACGCGGATGCCCCGTGCGGATCCCATCCGTGCGACCGCGTATCCTCGGGATCGTGCCCCGGAGTCCAGACCGCGAGGGCGCGGATACCAATCTCTTCGCCGCTCGTGGTGCCTAGGCGCGGCTCGAGCATTGCCTCTCTGCGCGTGTGGCCCCTTCGGACACTTGTGCGGAGCGCACGAGAACAGATATAGGCTCAGGCGCTTGGACCAGTTATGGGTCCTGGCTTCGTGCAGGGTCGGCGCGCTCCGCGGTCTGATGGGGCGGCACTGGCTTCATTTTGTCGGGGGGGTGCTTTCTCCGACCCGTGGACCTGGCGCCCAGGCGCCAGATCCACAGATCCCTAAACCATGTCAGCGAGCGCCCGACCCAGGGACCCTGCAGCTTCGTCCAGGATCGGGCGGCAGGGCCATGTCCAGCTGCGTGTTAAGAGTAGCGCTTCGCCGGAGTGGCTTCCGGACCGGGCCCACTTGGGTCCCCCCATCTGGGCCTCCCAAACGGGGTCGGAGCAGGCCTTCGGCGGTTTTCCGGCCTCGGGATGCCTTCCAACGCCTCGCCAAGAGCGTTCCAGGGTGCCCCGATCGCCCCGAGCGGCCGCCAGGGGCCCGAGCCGTGACCCGAAAGCCGGACGGCGGGAGCAGATGGGGTCGGAGGAGCGCGCCCCCTCGCCGCTGCATGGCGGTGCGGGTCCTTTTGGGGAGCCTGACGTTCGCAGTGCTGACGTCGCGGTGCCTCGGCGGTGCGGCGCGGTCCTCCGACCTCATCGGCTCCCGATCGCCGATGCATGGCGATGCGGGTCCTTTGGGGAGCCTGATGTTCGCAGTGCTGACGTCGCGGCGCCTCGGCGATGCGGCGCGGTCCTCCGACCTCTTCGGCTCCCGTCGTCCGGCTTCCGGGTCGTGGCTCGGGTATTCGGCAGCCGTTCGGGACGATCGGGGCACCCCTGCAGCGCTCTCGGCGAGGCGCAGCTGCTGGAAGGCATGGAAGGCATCCCGAGGCTGCATCCGGCCTCCCAGCGACCCCCTGAAGGGCGCGCCCCCAAGAGCCACCTTGATGCCTCTGGGGTCTCTCGCTGCGTGCGGCTAGCCGCGGCCGGGCAGCGGAATCGTTCCAGAGCTCGGGGCTCAAGGGACGGGGGTCAATGCAAACGAGGAAGCTCCATATGGTGCCACGACACGTGTGAGGGGTGTGTCGAACCGGGTGCGGGTACGCTATGCGGACCCTGCCGCTCGGGCCTTCCGTGGAGCTCACTTTATGGGGCCACGAAGCGTGTGAGGGGTGCCGAATCGAGTGCGGGCACGCCCCATGGGGCCACGAAATATATGATGAGGGGTGTGTCGAATCGGGTGCGGGTGCGCCATGCGGACCTTGCCGCTGGGGCATTCGGTGGAAACGTGTGAGGGGTATGCCGAACTGGGTGCTCGTACGCCATGCGGACTTTGCCGCTGGGGCATTCGGTTGAGCTTCCTATGGGCCACAAAGAATGTGAGGGGTGTATTAGAGGGATGTAAGGATGAGGATGCGGATGATGATGCTGATGCTGATGCTGATGCTGATGTTGATGCTGATGATGATGATGATGATGATGATGATGATGATGATGATGATGATGATGATGATGATGGTGATGGTGATGGTGATGGTGATGGTGATGGTGATGGTGATGGTGATGGTGATGGTGATGATGACGACGATGACGATGATGATGATGCTGATGAGGATGAGGATGAGGATACGGAAGAGGATGAGGATGAAGATGAGGATGAGGATGATGTTGATGACGGTGATGCTAATGGTGATGATGATGAAAATGATGCTGATTATGATGATGATGATGATGATGATGACGACGACGACGGTGGTGATGATGATCGTGGTGCTGACGATGGATAATGATCACGATGATATGATGATGATGGTGGTGGTTGTTGTGGCGCTGCTGATGATGATGGTGATGATAATGATGGGCATGATGACGATGATGATCCTCATCCTGGTCCTGCTCCTGATCCTGTTCCTGATCCTGATCATGGTCATGGTCATGATCATGGTCGTGATGATGCTGCTGATGATGATGATGCTGACGACGACGACGACGACGACGACGACGACGACGACGACGACGACGATGATGATGATGATGATGATGATGATGATGATGATGATGATGATGATGGCGATGGCGATGGCGATGGCGATGGCGATAGCAATGGTGATGGCCACGAGGAGGGCAGAACCAAGGATGGGGAGAACGGAGGAGGGGGAGGAGGAGAAGAAGGAGAGGGGCGCGGGGAGCTTCTCTTCAAAATTAGGACCCAACACCGCAGGATGCTTGGGAATTTGCAATTGATATACGGATGGATGGCGACCAGTTATCAAAAAATGATCTGGCCTATTCATTTCAACAGTTCCAACCACTGCACGGGTGGAGGGTGGTTCGCTTTGAAGATTTGATTGCGAAGGCATTACGGCCGGTGCCGCCGACCCCTAAGCGCGACGACCACGACTACGACGGCGGCGGCGGAGACGACGACGACGCTGACGCTCTCTAGCCCTTCTAGGGGCTATCTTGGGGGCCTCTTGGGCTCTGTTGGGGGGGCCTCTTGGTGGACTTCTTCGGAAGCTCCGTGGTCACTTGGAGCCGCCTCGGAGCGGATCTGAGGCCTCTTGGAGGCATGTGGGGAAACACGCAGCACCCCGCAACAGCAGATAAGAGTGACGAGGGCGCCTCTGGGGGTGGGGGTTCCCGGGGGAGGGCAGGGGGAGAGGTCCTGAGTTCCCCCAGTCCACAGGGCGACCACCCCCCTGTCCCCTTTGTCCACAGGTGTGACGGAGGAGGAGGAGTGGGGGGGGGAAGGAGGGGGGCTGGCTTGAGTTTCCTTGGTCCACATGGGGGGGTCTCCCCCCCCCCCCCCCCATGTCCGCAGGGAACCCTGGTGGAGGGGGGGAGCCTTGAATTCGTTTTGGCAACACGGGGGACCAACTCTGGGGAGGGGGGGGGGCACGACCCCCGCGACCCACACGGCGACCCCCCCCCCAGGACCCCCAGAAGGGATCAAAGGGAAGGGGCTCCCCTTCGACTCAATTATGACGCTTTTCGATGTCCGTCTGGCTGGATCGCATGAGTAAGAGGGCCGAGGGAAAGCGGGGGAGTGGCGACGGCGACGACGCCACTCAAACGGAAAAGGGGAGCGGCGACGGCGACGCCGACGGCTCAAACGGAAAAACGTCTCACACACGCCCACAGGGTCGGCGGATTTTGAAAAGGGGGCTCTCGCTTCAGCGCCGCGCACATTCGCTTCGAACACTTTTGATTTCTACAGGGATGAAATGGCGGCCAGTTTTCGAAGCGAGATTCTCGCTTGAAGGCCGCGCACATTCCTGCTAACAGTTCCCAGCCGCTGCACGGAGGGAAGGAGATTCGTGTTGAAAACGAGGTTACGCCGAGCACGTTGGCTTTGACAGCTGCAACAGTTGCACGGATGGAGGGCGGACAGGTTTCGACATGAGGTTTTAGTTTTAGAGCAGATTCGTTCTGAAAGTTTTCGATTGCTAGACAGATAGATGCTGGTTAGTTGTTCAAGGTGGGATATTGTTAGAGACCCTCGCTCATACACACATGACCCAGGATTTCTGATATGGGACAACAGCTACACGTATGGAGGATTGTGTGTTCTCAAAGCGGGGTTCTGTCTTGAGATTACATGTGGCAACAACGACCAGAAGTTGACACATGTGCACGAGCTGCACGGAAGGCCGGCGGCCGTTCTTCAAACAGCGACGTTGTTGGAAAGTCATTTGGCACTCCATGAAACGAATGGAGGATGACGATTAATAAATGACCGGGGGTCGTGTTCACGCGGCGGCGCCCGGGATGACGATTAGAAAACCGGCCGCGGGCTGGAAAACTATGTTTTAAGATCGCTCTCCTCCAGTCAGAAAATTATGCAGAAATAGCAGAAAATGTAATCGTTCTCTCCCATTTTTTATTAACCGTCATCCCGCACTATGGTTGCGTCCTTCTTACTGGAAAGACGGAGGGCGGAATGACTCCAGAGTGCGCCTCTCGCCCGAGCGCCCAGGGGGCGCCCGTCGTTCCAGGGGGCGCTGGAACGCGTGCTGGGATTGGTGAGGCGGGGGCCTAGGACCTTAGGACAGGAGCGTGCAGTGCAGCATCGCTGACGCACTCAAGTTCTACTCCTGTCCTCCTCCTGTCCTCCTCCTCCTCCTCCTCCTCCTTCTCCTCCTCCTCCTCCTCCTCCTCCTCCTCCTCCTCCTCCTCCTCCTCCTCCTCCTCCTCCTCCCTGATCCCCTTTCCTCGCCGTTGTCATCCTCCTCCTCCTCCTCCTCCCTCGCTCTCCTTCTCCTCCTCCATCCTCCTCCGCTCCCTCCTCCCTCCGTCGTCCTTCTCCATCCCCCATCCCTCCTTCGGCCTCCTCCCGCCGCCCTCCTCGTGCGCCTCCTCCCCCCCCCTGAGGCCAGACGTTGCTAACAAGCTGCAGCATCGCCGACAATCGCGCCGGGAACCCTGGACCCCATCTCTCTGAGCCGTGCTTGGAGCCGGATCGACCCGCGAGGGTCCCGGCGCCGGAGCTTGGGCGGAGGCGTGCGCTGCGACCGCACTGCGGCGTCCGCCTCTCGACGCCCTCCGGCCCTCCCCGGGCAGCGGGCAGGCCTGGAGCCGAGCCTGGCGACCTACCGGTCGCTGGTGCGGGCCGCCACGGCGCGGGGTGCGCAGGGCAGGCCGCTGGCGCTGGCGGAGTGCTGGTTCCAGGAGGCGCTGCTGGCCGAGTCGTCCGCGGCCCGCCGCCCGGTGGGGTCGCCGGCGGCCGATGGCGACCAGGCCGGCACGGTCTCGGGCCTCGGGCAGTGGCGAGGCGTCGCGGCATGCCTGTGGGCCTGCAGGCCCAGCAGAGGATGCTCTGACAGCCTGTTGCGGTGTGCACGTGGTGTTCTCAGAACACCTCTGGCTCAGACCGGCTGCTGTGATGCATGGGCTTTCCGGTTCAAGAACACCGCTTCCGGTTGTCATAACATTCGATCGTTCTACGAACATTCCGCGGTAGGCCTATAGGAATGCCAGGACGGTCGGTCCTTGCTCAGAGACCTCCTCCCTTGAGACCTTTGCGTTGCAATTTGTCCACAACGGACGATTTCCTCGGCTCCGGGCCCCAGAATTCTTGCAGATCGATCCGGCTCGAACAATGGTGCAGAAATATGGGGTCTATGGGCTCTGGTGGCGATTGTTGGCGATGTTGCAAGTTTCTTGCAACGTCTGAACTCAGATGTTCGTCCTGACGGACGGTCTTTGACCATTTTTCGGCCTCTCGAGGCCTTTAGCCCTTGGCAGGCCCTGGGGTTGTCAGAAAGCGATTCGGGCCGCCGAGAAACCAGTCGTGGAGAGAAAGGCCCAGACCTCCAGAGAAGCACGTAGCGAAGAAAACACGACATCGGATGTCTGAGGTCGAGGCTTGCATGCAATTAAGATTCTGAGAGAAGGACCTTGTTCGACTCAGGAGGGACTGGTTGTCGGGCCGTTCCTTCGATCTGGATCGGGCAGTTCCTAATTGGGAGTTCCGAGTGGCAGCACGATGGCTGTACCGGCAGTCAGCGCTAACGGGATTCGGCCGATCCCATCTGATCATTGCTGGCCAGCCTGGGTTTGGGAGCCACGCGGAGCCAACCCCCCCTCCCCCTCCGTTGGCCCAGGTTGGGGAGCTGCTGTGTGGCCGGCCCGGGCTTGCGACATGGCCTCGGCTGGCCCGTGCTGGCGCTGAACCGGGCCAGCGCGCCCCTGACATCTGGCGTCGCCCCAGCATTGCAACATCGCCACAAATCATCATCATCGTCATCATCATCATCATCATCATCATCATCATCATCATCATCTCCTCCTCCTCCTCCTCCTCCTCCTCCTCCTCCTCCTCCTCCTACTCCTCCTCCTCCCCCTCCTCCTCCTCCGTTGCCATTTTGGCTCAAGCCGTTCTGGCGCAGAATTTGCGCTTGCGGATTCTTCAGAACGGCTAGGAAACCGCGGGTCAAAGATTTTGGTTTCGATCTTTCATTTCTCGTCCCCCAGTCTCATGTCCCATGGCTCTGGCAAAAGCGGCGGCTGCAAAGGGGGGGCGCCCCCCTGGCGCGGCTCAGCCGCAGCCAGCAGCGGAGGCAGTGGATGGCAGGACTGGTCGCAAGGCAACGGCAACTCCAGCTACTACTCGCGCTCGTGGCACAACCACAGCAACGGGGACAGGTGGAAGTGGGTTGCCTGCAGGTGCGGCAAGACGTCGGTCTGGGTGGGGTATTGCAAGCATTGTGGCGCCCCCCGTCAAGCACCGACTACCGATTTTGATGCACAGCCTCGTGGTGTGTGGTCTCATCAGCAAGGCCTGCCTCGCGCTCCAGGGTACCATCCTCCTGGAGAGTGGGCCATCCTGCCTGCTGGGCCGCAGCTCGCTGGCGGTGCCGCACGCAGCAGAGGCGGGCCCCACAGCAGCGGAGCCCCACTGGACGCCAAGGAGTTCCAGACTTTGGTGGCGTTGGCCAAGCGAAGCGGCGATGAGCAGACTGCAGCCAAGTACCAAAGCAAGCTCGATGCGATGGCAGCCGCTGCTAAGCCCCCGCCGAAGGCCATCCGGCACCGGGTCAGCGACTTGCACCATCGCATCAAGAAGCTTGACAGCACGATGGAGACCGAGATGGCGAAGCTCCAGAGATGGCACGAGCGTATTCGCCAGCAGGAGATCCTCATCCACGACCTGTCCAAGCAAAGTGAGGCCATGGTCATGGAGCACCGCCAGCTCGCGGCGCAGCTTCATAGCACGGTGGTGCCCACTCAACATCATGCTTAGGCCCAGCAAGGGCCAACTTCTTCCCTCCGCGACCTTGTCGAAGGCAAGGTGTCCACCATCAACATTGACGACGGTGGCCTCTTTCGGGCGGATGCAGAGGGCATCGAAGAGGCCGACCGAGCTGAAGTTGAACGACGGCGCGCTGATTTCAAGGAACACATCGGCCAAGCGGCTAAGGCTCTGTTCGCGGATGCGCTTGCGAGGGCAGCTGCTGTCAGAGCCGAGCACGAAGCCTACCTCAAGCGCATGGCGGGCAAGCGCGGGAAGGGCGAGGACGGCGAGGCCACTGCAAGAGGCGATGTTCCTGCAGGCGGCGCGGGAGCCCCCCCCCCCCCCCCCCAACCCGACAGCGGAGGCGGCGCCAGTGACAGCGCTGCCGCGGGGTCAGCCGAGCCCGAAACCAACCCGACTGCGTCTGCCAGCCGAGTCCGAGAGCAGGCAGCACGCATCGCGGAGAGGGCACAGCAGCGCGCTGCGGACTCAGGCCGTGGCGCAGGCATTGAGCAGCAGAAATTGGGCCCCCCTGGAGGCGGCCAAGCTTGAAGGGGGGGTCTCGCGTCACATCAGTGAGTCCAGTGAGCCACGTGAATCGAGGGCCAGCCAGCTGCTGGCGACGCCCCCCCTCGCGCACCCGCCCCCCCCGTTTCGCCTCGAGCCGACTGTTGTCAAGAACGGCCAGGGAGGACAGACCGCCCCCCTAGGCAAGCCGTTGGAGGAGCCGCCCCAGGCGGGCCTTTCCCCCGCCGCCGCCCCCTGAGCCCGAGTCGTTTCGTCTGAGGGCCGCGTCGGTGAACGGGAACTCTCGGGGGTCGGTCAAGGAGTGGCCCCCCAGCGCAGACGCAGAAGTCACTCTGATCCAGGAGCACAAGATTTTATCGCAAGAAGCTCTGGATAGAGCCTCAGTCTTCTGCCTCGGTCTGGAATTCAAGCCGCTTTGGACCCCGGGGGCGACTGGCCCCGATGGGGGGCCCTTCGCAGGAGTCTCGATTTTGCGCCGCGCAAGTCTTGGGCTGCACCCTGCCCCGCCCGGTCTTGAGATCGTGCCCCGCCGAGCCATCGCGGCCCAGGTGCGCGACCCGCATGGCGGAACGCCCCAGGTTTGCTCGGTCGACTTAAAGGGTTCGGAGGGCCTCTCGGAAGATAATGTTAGCACGCCGTCGTCTATAGGGGCTGTGGAATCCACTTCCGGGAAGCCATTCGTTGTCGGGGGAGACTGGAACATCGAACCGTCGGTTCTCGAGAAGTCCAAGTTCGCGAGCACCCCGATCGGCCAGGCTATCGACACTTCGACCCCCACGTGCCACGCTGGAGGAGGGAAGGTTTACGATTACTTCGCAGCGTCTTCGGGCTTATCGAAAGGGTTGCAGACATCGCTACGCCCGACGATGCCGGCTTCTCCCCTCACCAACCTGCTCGCCTGACGCCCCATGCAGGTCTGGCCAGGATGCATTATTCAACGCTCAAGAGGCCACCACCTATTCCCACGGAGGCGCCTTTTTCGGCCCGCTGCCCGAACCACTGGATCTTTCTAGAGCCGACACCCAGCTTGACGCCACCTTCATAGAGCGAGGCGATGGGACGACTCCGCCATGACGGCGCCACTGTTTCGTGAAGCTCATGCATCTTGGGCTGGACTCGCGGAGCGCGAGCTATCGAGGATCTTCGGGGTCAACCTTCCTGCGCGGGGGGGCCAGGGGGAAAGGGCCCAGGACCCACTGGAGGCCCATCCTTGGGAAAGACCACGAGAGTGTTCGGCATCCGCAGCGGCGCGCCACGCGTTGGATGGCGGCCCACTGCAAACGTCTTGCTTCCTGTGCTCAGCGAAGGGATTGGCCTCTGGCTCGGGGCGCGGCGAGGATCTTGACCTCTCCCCCCCCCCCCGTGCGCGCGTAAGACCCATGACCCATTCCTTGGAATGGAAGTCATCCTCTCCTCGGTTAGAGATATTGCGAACGAAGTAACGAAGTTGCTGACGTTCCCCGATTCAGATGGAACAAGCTGGGTTTGCGCAGGACCGCGGTGCCAAGGCCAACGAGAAGGTTTTTGATTTTGCCGATCAATGTTCCAACTTTTATTCGACAAAAGCCAAAATTGATCGGGCCGATTGGCTCACCGGAAACGTCGACCAAGGGGGCAGGATAATTCGCAGCTGCACCAAGGATCCGCAGGGCTGGAAGCCCAGTACGACCTCGAGTTCAGGAGGCTGCGCGGTGTCCGACCCGCAGGCCCTGGATGATGAGATGCAGCGGTTCCGCGAGCTGTGGGAAGGGTTGCCTGTGCCAGCGAGGAGGAGCGGGCAAGTTCAACCTCCCCTTCCCCCGATTCCGATTGAAATGATTCGGCGTTTTCGAAGAAGTTTGCCCGCGGGTCTGCGACGGGCCTCGATGGGTTTCACCTTCGTCATTTCTCTGTTCTGTCTGATGGAGCCTTGCGGGCTCTCTCCAGAATGCGTTCGCCGATGGGAATGATTGGCGCCCTGCCCCTGCAACTTCAGGCGGTGATTGTCGCCCCCCCCGAAGCCCAGCCCAGGCTTTCGGCCTATAGGAGTTTTTGCCAGTTTGCACCGCCTGCGGGGGGGGTGCAGGAGGGGGCGGGCCATCCACTGGGAAAATGATAATCAGAGGAGTTACTGGGCGGCAGGCAAGCACAGGCCAGCCAGCGATGTCGCACGGCGGCAAGCGGCCAGGTCAGAGTCGTCACGTTCTCAAGGCGATCACGCCTGCACCATGGTGTGGGTCTTTGTAAGGTAATACGGGCGGATCCCTCTGGAGTTGCTGGGGCTGCGCTGTAAGCAGCACGGCATGCCGAGCCAGATCACAGACGTCTGCATGGCGGGATGCAGATCTGCTCGCTTCCTGGTCCTTGCTGGTGTCGTTGCTCACCCCACCTACGCCAGAGTAGGAATAATAGCGGGGTGCAGTTTCGCCACCACGATGATCCGCGTTTTTGTGCTCCGAGGGTTCGATCAGCTCGTCCTTCCTCAGGGTCTGTCTTTTGATGCGTACATCGATGATTTGGGGCTCAACGCGATTGGTTCGGCTAGAGGAAGCACGCGAGAGCTTCCCAAAGCTACCAGGAAACTTGAGTAAGTTATTGACGCGATCCCCCTTTGCCAAGGTCTCCCCCGGGGAAAAAATAAAAACTTTTATTTATATATATAACACAAAAAAAGTAATGGTCGCGCCATCGAAGGCCATTGCCCCGCAAATCCAGAAGAAGTTGGGGGCCCTTGGAGGAGAAGGCATTGGATCGTTTGCCAACCTAGGTATTGACGACACTGCAGAAGGGGCTCGGCGAGCTCGAGGGAGGAACAGCCGCGCCAAGCTCCGTTTTGCTCGAGCCTCCAGGCGCGCTGGCAGGTTGGCGCGACAGAGAGCTGTGCTAGGACCTACGGCTGTGAAGTTGCGCGCGGTAGGACCTCTGGCGGGAGCGAACTATGGGGCGGAAATCCATGGGGCCAGTGACGGCGAGCTGCCCAGAGTCCGACGTCCCTGCGCGTCGACTACGAAGCCGAATGTTGGGGGGCGAAGTTTAACCATTCCCAGCAGGGCTGAGGGAGACCCTGCTTGGTGGGGAGCGGTCACCCCCATCACCCGCTGGTTTAAAGAAGCGTGGGCCAGGCACACTCGGGCCAGTGAAGTTCGTTCTCCCGGGCCGACCTTCGGGAAATGTGGAACCATGTTTTTGCGAGGCGGTGGGCTTGGAAGACCGCTGGGGGGGGCCATAGGGGCCATGAAACTTTCCCTCGGCCGCATTGGGTGGACCATGCCCAAACCATTCACTCTGATTAGCGATCTCATGTCAAATTCGAGCACTCCCCCCCCCCGCCCTCCTGAAGGTCCTCTTGAAGGAAGGGTCTGGAGGGCTTCGGAAAGATGAGCTGGTATGAAATACGGGCCCAAAGGTTCTCAGAGGCTTTGTTTCGATGCCGCCTTGAGAGCCCTCCGTTCCAAACGTTTTTCGGCGCGCCGGAAAGGAACTCTGCGTTGTTGCGCCTGCCAAGGATTGCGGCCGCTAGCTCGTGCTCGAGCTGCAGGCTACGGCGTTGCAGATGGTTGCCCTCTGTGTCACGAACCAGGGGGCACTCTGTTCCATCGGCTTTGGCTTTGTTCGGCAGTTTCAGAGGAACGAAGAGAAGTGGTTCCACAGCGGAGGCGCGTTTTTACTCGACGGGTCATGCACCCGCAGGCTTCTTCGCAGCTCGAATAGAGCGGGTTGGGGGCTGGCTATGTTAGGCCCTCGCTCGCATCTTCTCGCCATGATGTGGGGGCCAGTGCGGGACAGTTGCCCGCAGACCCCCCAGACTGGCGGGTTTGCTGCTTACGCGATGGCTGGGGGCTGTCCTACCTGGCCCCACAGTGCTCTACTCAGACTGCCAGAATGTTGTTTCGATGCACGGCCTCCCGACTAGCGAGCAGCTCTCACCCAAGCGTCCATACTCGGGACTCGCGTTGCAGGGTCGCTTATTTGGCGGAAATGGATGCTTGGGTGTGAGAAGGTCAAAGCTCATGTATCGCTCGACGATCCCGGCATCAGCGAAGACGAGCGATTTCGACGGCTCGGGAACTATTTTGCGGACAGAGTTGCGAAGTGGGGTGCCGACGCCCACGCGCAGATTGCACTTGAGGTGGCTGAAGGATGCGACCACCTCCTTAATTCGGCCCAGCTCGCAGTCAGACTCGCTGCCACTCTGCTGCCGCTATGGCCTCGCACTGACCTTTCCTGTGCTGCGTAGTGGTCTCCGACCACTCCTGCCCCACGAGTTGCCCCCAATCCCCATCTGTGGGAGTGGATGGGGCCTCCTTGCGGGGATCAGCGTTTGTGGTGTTGTCAAGGATGTTTGCGGACCTCGCGAAATGATGCGAGTACGTCCCCGCCGCCAGGCAACTGTTCAGGGTACCCCAAAGTCAATGTACTTGAACTCAGGGATCGGAACCATGGGTGTATTCTCGCGGACGCGAGTAACGGGGGGGTGTTGTGGTTTGTATGATGAAGTGCAAGAGATACACCTCTGGAGCTCGTCTGGCAGAACTTGCCAAGAGCTGTCCTGGCCGTCCGCCAGGCAAAACAATCCAGATGCGTGGAACAAGATACTGAAGGGTCTCCATCCGAAAGCGAAGGGAGTCATTATGTTATCTGACACACTGAGTGTGCTTTAAGCATGCCGCGGGAGCCCCAGTGATCAAAAAATCCTCCTCCTTCTCCTCCTCCTTCTCCTCCTCTTCCTTCGTCCTCCTTGATGACGCCGTGCCTCCCCCCTCGGCCCCTTTCCTCCTCGTTGTCATCCTCCTCATCCTCCTCATCCTCCTCCCTCGCTCTCCTCCTCCGTCCTTGTCCTCTCCCTCCTCCCTCCGTCGTCTCCCTCCCCATATCCCTCGGCCTCCTCCTCCCCCCTCTCCCTCCGCCCTCCTCGTCCGCCTCCTCCCTCCCCTGGAGGTCTGACGTTGCCAAAAAGATGCAGCATCGCCAAAGGTCACGACCAGAGCCCTGGACCCCATCTTTTTGCGTCATTTGTTTTAGCTGGGCCGCAACCGAAAAGAAGCATCATAGCTTCTACGTCAGCATGCAGGACTGATCCACTGACGGAGCCAACCCATTCCCAATTCATTGGCATCAACCTCATGCGAAGCAGCATGCTCTCCTCATCTTCGAGTCGGATCGACCTGTGCGAGCCCCGGGGCCCGAAACCAGGCGAACACGCCCGCTGCGACCAAGAAGGGCAGCGCCAGGCCCTCATGGGCCCCCCCAGCAGGTCGGCGCAGAACTGTTGCCGCCAGCGGCCAGCGAGCGGAAGCTGCTCGAGTCCATGGGTATGAAGCTGATCATGGCGCACCTGAGGTCAGCATCGCTTAGCCTATTCCCATCCACACCGGGCCATGGCATCTCAGCCCCACCATCACAGACCCTCCAGCTGAGGATGGCCCCATCGACGCCCGAGAGGAGCAGCCTGCATCCCCATCCGTGGGGGGTGACAAGCAGCCAGTGGGGCCCAGGTCGGGTCGGACGAAGGGGCAGGATGGGGAAAGGGGGGGGTACGAAGTCTGCTGTATGCAGCTGGTTTCCGCCCCGCCGCTGGGCCCAGTCCTCGATACGTGGTCGCATCCCGGCGCCAGGAGGCGCCAGGGAAACCAGCTGCGCGAGCTGATTCTCTACCCTTCCCTTCGCTACCCTAGCCTTTCGTCCCCCCCGACAGTGGTGATGGGGATCCGTTACACGATACGCACTTGAGGGCGCTCTCCAGGGAGGGCCTGGGCGCCGCCGACCGCTTGCTGCAGAGCGCCGCGGACAGCAACACGCTGAGCGTGCGGATGTGCAGCGCGGTGAGCCTGGGGCACATCAGGCTCGGCGCAAACTTCGAGCGGGTGGAGGAGAGGGGAGACGAAGTAGACCCATTCCTTAAAATAGTGTGTGTATATATATACATACACGCACACACGAACAAAGTGGCTTCAGAAGGGGAACACATATATGCATATATATATACATATATATATACATACATATACATATACATATACGCTCCAAACACAACACACAGAACACAACGCACAACACACACACACACAACACACACGCACACGCAACGCGCACACACGCACACACGCACACACATACACACACAGACAGACACACACACACACAACACACACGCGCGCGCACACACCCACACACACACGCACGCACACACGCACACACACACACACGCACGCACGCACGCACACAACAACAGCATCATCACCACCAACACTAACAACAGCAACCACAACAGCAGCAGCAACAACAAGAACAACGACAACAACAATCATGTTAAGACTTCGATATTTCCTTCCCGTGTGCCGCTCAAGACGTATACCCCAACCCCTCGATATCCGCCCTCTTCATCTTCGATCGTACCCCCCTGGGCGGTCTATCTTCCTTACCTGCCGCGTGTAATTGGCGCAACCCCGAAAATAAGGGAAGAGAGGGCGTATGGAAGGGGGAGGGAAAAGGATGGAGCACGCGATTAGCAGGAGGGGTAGGAGCAGAAAACACGTGGCAGAACCAGCGGGCTGATCGGGCGGGCAAGCCTTGACGGGCGGGCGGAAAGGCGGGCCCAAGCGGCCAGGTCAAGCAGGCGGGTTGTTGAAGCATGTGTATTGCATGAATCCCAAGGAGGTCTCGAGCGATAGCGCGATTCCCACGTGAATCACGATGACACCAGAGCGAGAGTGCGATTATTGAGCGGCGAGGGCGCGGCGTTTGAGTAAATTGCGAGAAAGTCCCACGGGAGAGCGCGATTCTTGCATAACTTGTGAGGAAATCCCGCGCGAGAGCGCGATGTCTCGATGAATTGTGAAGAGTACCAGGCGGTAGCCATTGTTGTTGCAGTTCGGGGCCCAACAACGCAGTTTGGTGACCCCACGCTTGCCTTTGTAAAAGATACGGTGCGGGCCCTGGGAGGAGCACTTTAATTGAAAAACACAAACGTCACTGGGCAGGGAAGATCAACAATGGTTGGTTATTTATGTTACATTGAAAGTGGTAAGTCAACAAAAACAACAACACCAACAACAACAACAACCACAACCACAACAACAACAACAACAATCATACTAACAAACAACACTAACAACAGCAGCAGCAATAGCAAAAGCAGCATTCAGCATTCAACGGAAACCACAAAAAAACGGCAACAACAACACTCATTATACGGTAGCTTGCTTCGCTCCTTTCCGCTCGCGTGCCATTCAACACGTGTATCCCAAGCCCTCGATTCACGCCCTCTTCATATTCGATCGTACCCCCCTGGGCGGTCTATCTTCCTTACCTGCCACGCGCGTGTAGCGCAGCCCCTGATATAGGGAAAGAGAGGACGGATGGAAGGGGGGTGAGAAGGATGGAGCACGAGAGAAATTCGCAGGTGGTGGGCTGGGAGCAGAAAGCACGTGGCAGAACCAGACGTGCAGATCGTGCGGGCAGACTCCAGTGGGCGGGTCGGAAAGGCGGGCCAAGGCGGCCAGGTCGAACAGGCAGGTTGCTGAAGCGTGAACATTGGATCGCGAAAAAATCGCAAGCCATAGCGCCATTCCCAAGTAAATCATGAGAAAGGCCACGGCAAGAGCGTGATTTCTGAGTGTCGAGGGCGCGGCGTCTGAACAAATTGAGAGGAGGCACCACGCGAGAGCGATTCCCCCAGAACTTGTCAAGAAGTCCCGCGCGAGAGCGCGATTTTGGAATAACTTCCAAGGGGATATCAGGCGGGAGCCGTTGTTGTTGTAATTCGGGGGCCAGGGGAGCAGTTTGACTTTCAATCTGTCCGGCTGGAAAACGCAATTCGTATTCTTCAGAAATTAGAGAACAACAGCAGCAACCATTTTAATGTTGTTCTTTCCTATCTGCACGCGTACCGTTCAAGCCCAAGCCCTCGGTGCCCGCATTCTTTGTCGTCGATCATACTCCATTGGAGGTATATCTTGCTTGCTTGCCACGTGCATATAGCGCAGCCGTTAAAACAGGAGAAGAGGACGGATGGAAGGGGGAGGGAGAAGGATGGAGCACGAAAGATATTCGCGGGAGAGCGCTAGGAGCAGAAAACACGTGGCAGAACCAAACGGGCAGATCGGCGGACAGACTCTAGCGGGCGGGTCGGGAAGGCAGCACAGGCGGCCAGGTCGAGCAGGCGAGGTGCTGAAGCGTGAGCCCTGCATGAATCGCGAGGAAGCTTTCGCGGAATAGCGCAATCCCCAAGTCAGTCGTGAGAAAGGCCAGAGCGAGAGCGCTATTTCTGAGTGTCGAGGGCACGGCGTTTGAATGAATTGCACGGACATCCCACGCGGGAGCGCGATTCCTACAGAAATTGTCCGGACGTCTCGCGCGACAGCGCGATGTTGGAATAATTCCCTATGAAGTATCAGGCGGGAGTTGTTGTTGACCGAGTGCGGGCCCCGAGGTGGGGGCAGTCCAATTAAAAAACGTGCACCCGTGGGGCGGGGAATCAACATTAGTTTTCGCTCAAGAACGAAATTTAACAACAGCAATAACAACAGCAGCAGCAACAACAATACTCATTTTACGACTGGCCGCTCTTATCTGCTCGAGTGCCACTCAACACGTATATCCCGAACCCTCGAAACCCGCCCGTGTCTTTTCGATCGTATTTTCTTGGGGGCATATCTTCTTTACTTGCCACGCGAGTTTAGCGCAGCCCTTCACACATGGGAAGAAAGGGTGGGAGGGAGAGGGAGAAGGATGGAGCGCGAGAGAAATTAGCAAGGGGGGTTCATGAGCAGAAGACACGTGGCAGAACCAGGCAGGCAGATCGGGCGGGCTAACCCCAACGGGCGGGTCGAACGACATCAACCATAATAGCAACAGTAGCAACAACAACAACCATGTTAAGACAGTTCGTTCCTATCTGCTCGCGTGCCGCTCAGCACGTATATTTCAAAGCCTCGATACCCGCCTTTTTCGTCTTCGAGCGCTTCCCCTTAGGGGTAGATTAGTATTACCTGTGACGTGTGTTCCGTGCAGCCCCTGAGGCAGGAGAAGAGAGGACGGATGGAAGGAAGGAAAGAGGGCAGGCGGGTTGCTGAATCGCGCGTCCTGCATGCATCGCGGGGAACCCTCGAGCGATAGCGCGATTCCCCAAATGAACCGTGAGGAGTCAACAGCGAAAGCGCGATTCCTAAGTGTCGAGGGCACAGCGTCGGAATGATTTGCGAGGAAGTCCAACCCGAGATCGCGATTCCTGTATAAATTGTGAGGGCGTCCCGCGCAAAAGCACGATTTGGGAAGACATTGTGAGGAAGTATCAGGCGGAAGCCGTTGTTGCTGTAAACCAGGGGGCAAGGGCACAATTTGGTGACATGTCATTGCACCCTGCAAGAAATTAGGTGCGAGCCCTGGGAGAAGCATTTTGAATGAAAGAATACCATGGTTACCCGGGGAACCAACGGTAATTATTCTTTGGAAACGAGAATGCAACAACAATATGTTTAATATTGTTCGCTCTTATCTGCTCGCGTGCCACTCAACAAGTATATCCCAAACCATGGATACCCGCCCTCTTCGTCTTCGATCATAACCCCCGTAGGAGTACATCTTTCTTACCTGCAACGTGAGTTTCGTGCAGCCTTCTAAGGCAGGGGAAGAGAGGACGGATGGACGGAAGGGACAAGGGGGAGAGAGAAGGATAGAGCACGACAGACAGTAGCAAAAGGGAAGCTAGGAGCAGAAAGCACGTGGCAGAACAGACGGGATGATCGGGCGGGTAGGCCCTAACGGGCGGGTCGGGAAGGCGGTCCCAGGCGGCCAGGTCGAGCAGGAGGAATGCTGAAGCGTGCGTCCTGCATGCATCGCGAGGAAGTCTCGATAGATAGTGCGATTCCCAGATAAACCGTGGGGAATCCAAAGCGAGAGCGCCATTCCTGAATGTCGACGGCGCGGCGTCGGAATGACTTGTGAGGAAATCCCACGCGAGAGCGCGATTCTTACAAAAAATGTGAGAACGTCCCGCGCGAGAGTGCGATGTTGGAACTACTTGTGAGGACGTATCAGGCGGGAGCCGCTGTTGTTGCAAAGTGGGGGCACAGTTTGATGTCCCCGCGCTGTGAAGGAACATCTAATTTTAAACTATACACTAGTTACCGGAGGGGGGATCAACAATAAGTATTGCGCAGACAGCAACAACGAATGCGTTAGAATACAGCGCGGAATCCTTGGGTCAGCCCCCACACCCTTGGCTGCCCCTCTCGCGCCGCCCTTGGCGCGCTCCGCTCGCCAGGGAAGGAGCCAGAAATCCGCCCGCGCATGCCTGCGAGAGTTTCTGCCTGCGCTCGCCCTTGAACTCCCAGGAGATCTTCAGGACCATGGCGGCGTGCGGCCTCCGCCCCGACCGCGCGGCCTTCGCCGTCATCATCGACGCCTGCGCGGAGCGAGGCAGTGTCGAGGCGGCGTCCAGGTGGGTGGACGCCAAGGCGAGGAGCCTCGGCGAGGCCGTGGACTCCAAGGACTACTGCGCACTGCTGCGCGCCTGCGCGAAGGCCTCGCCGCCCCAGCCGGACATCGCCGTGGACATCTTTGCGGGCATGCTGGCCGACGGCATCAAGCCCACCGAGGCCCAAGCTCCCCCCTCGCGTCTACGGTGCCGCTACAATGTCCGCTCGTTCTTGGTCTGTCTCTGTCTCTGTCCCTCTCTCTCTCTCTTTGTTTCTCTCTCTCTCTCTTTCTCTTTCTCTCTCGCTCTCTCTCTCTCTCTCTCTCTCTTTCTCTCAAATGCATACTGATTCCATTCGCATTTTCCTTCAAACCGTTGAATCAGCAGGGCTTGGAGTCGCCCGCGAGGCGCTCGCAGCAGCTTCAAGGGCGGGGTTGAGCGTGCTGTCTTGAGCAAAGGTGATTATGTGTTCTCTGTCTCTCTCTCTCTCTCTATCCCTCTCTCTCTCTCTCTCTTTTTTTTCCTCTCTCTCTCTCTCTCTTTCTATCCACCTCTCGCTTTGATGTTGTTCAGCCCAGATCCGCGGTGGGGACATTCAGCCAGGCGTGATCCTGGGCAGGAGGACGGACCTCATGGCTGCCCCCCCCCCCTGTAAGGTTCGCCAGTTGGGGCCACGCGTTCCAGCAGGCGGGGTGTTTCCTTCTGCTCACTGTCGGGCGGTAAGCTCACTCTGGGACACCTGGTTCGGGGCCCTACTGTCCTCCAAGGCCGTGTGTACACGCGACTGCGTGGCGAACATGTCGATGTGGTCGCCGTCGTGGATGGTCAAGCCCGGTTCCGTCGGGCTTCCCCGCGTCAGGGGAGTCGATGCTTCCAGGCGAAGCGGTGCTTTACGCGCCACTCGAGATGGATTGCGTTGGCAGGGCAAACAAGCGCAGGCCTAACGGATTGTCATCAACGAAGGGGGAGCCACATTCAGCTCCACCTCATCTTTTTCCCCGTTCTCTTCTCCGTCCTCGTCGCCCTCATTTCACCGTTACCAGTACATACACAGGCATTGACACGACTACCACCACTACGGCGGCGACAACTACTACGACCAAGACTACGATTACGATCCATGCTACTACTGCGACGGCTAGTATTACTATTACGACGACTACTATTATAGCGACTACTACGACGACGACTATTAGTATTATTACTACTACCGCGATTGCTACTACTACTACTACTACTACCACCACCACCACCACCTTTACTACTACTACTACGACTACGACGACTACTACTACTACTACTACTACTACTACTTTTACTACTACTACTACTACTACTACTACTACTACGACTACTACGACTACTACGACTACTACTACTACTACTACTACTACTACTACTACTACTACGACTACTACTACTACCACTACCACTACAATACGACTACTACGATTACTACTACTGCTACTACTACTACTACTACGACTACTACTACTACTTTTACTACTACTACTACTACTACTACTACGACTACTACGACTACTACGACTACTACGACTACTACTACTACTACTACTCTACTACTACTACTACTACTACTACTACTACTACTACCACTACCACTACCATACGACTAATACGATTACTACTACTGCTACTACTACTACTACTACTACGACTACTACTACTCCTACTACTACTACTACTACTACTACTACTTCTACGACTGCTACAACTACTACTACTACTACTACTACTACTACTACTACTACGACTACGACTACTAACTACTACTACTACTACTACTACTACTACTACTACTCTGACTACTACTACGACTACAATTATAACTATTACGACCACTACTACTACTACTACTACCACTACTACTACTACAGCTACGACTGCTACTACTACTACTACTACTACTACTACTACTACTACTACTACTACTACTACGACTACGACGACTACTACTACTACTACTACTACTGCTACTACTACTACTACTACTACTACTACTACTACTACTACTACTACTACTACTTCTACTACTACTACTACTACTACTACTACGACTACGACCACGACTACCACTACTACTACTACTACTACTACTACTACTACAACAACTACTGCTACTGCTACCACGACTACTACTACGCCTACTGCGACTACTACGATTATGACTACTACTACTACTACTACTACTACTACTACTACTACGATTACTTCTACGACTACTACTACTACTACTACTACTACTACTACTACAGCTACGTTTACTACTACCACGGCTACGACCATGATTGCAATTACTGCGATATCGACGACGACGGCTACTACTTCTAGTACTACTACTACGACTTGTAGTATTTTTCAGACTAGTACGACTACGACTACGACTACTACTACTACCACTACTACTACTACTACTACTACTACTATTACTACTACTACTACTACCACTACGACTACGACTACGACTACTACTACTTCTACTACTACTACTACTACTACTGCTTTCACTATCACTACGGCTCTTACTACTACTACTACTACTACTACTACGACTACTACTACTACTACTAGTACGACTACGACTACAGTTTCTACGACTACGACGTTGACTACCACTATTATCTTTACTACTACTACTACGACGACGACTACCATTACCATGCCGTTAATTACCACTCCCAACTACTACTACTACTACTACTACTACTACTACTACTACTGCTGCTAATACTACTACTACTACTACTACTACTACTACTGTTTCTTCTTCTTCTACTACTACTACTACTACGACTACTACTACTATTACTACTACTACTAACACTACTACTACCACTATTACTACTAGTACTACTACTACTACTACTACTACTACTACTACTACGACGACTACTACTAGTGCTACTACTACTACTACTACTACTACTACTACTACTACTACTACTACTACTACTACTGCTACTGCTACTACTACTACTACGTACTACTACTACTACTACTACTACTACTACTACTACTGGTACTACTACTACTACTACTACTACTACTACTACTACTACTACTACTACTACCCCGATTGTTATTACTACGACTACTACGACTGCGACGACTACTACTACTCGTGTTGGTACGACTACTTTTACTTCTACGACTACTTCTACTTCTACTACTACTACTACTACGAGTACTACTACTACCGATTACCTACTACTGCTACTGCTACTACTACTACCACTACTACTTTTACTGTTACTACTACGACGGCGACGACGACTACTGTTACTACGACGACGACTACTACTACTATTACTACGACTA